CCTTTCCTTTCCTTTCCTTTCCTTTCCTTTCCTTTCCTTTCCTTTCCTTTCCTTTCCTTTCCTTTCCTTTCCTTTCCTTTCCTTTCCTTCCCTTCCCTTCCCTTCCCTTCCCTTTCCTTTCCTTTCCTTTCCTTCCCTTCCCTTCCCTTCCCTTCCCTTCCCTTCCCTTCCCTTTTTTTCTTTCTTTAGGAGGAGCGGTTTGTTTGGAGCACAGGGAGATTTTCTTAAACAAAGCAGTTGGCAAGAACTAGAGAAAACTCTGGAAAAGGGAAAGGGCGTGAATTGAGGCTCTACCCTGGGCTAAGTGGGTGCTCTTGCCTGGTGTGGGAGGAAGGCTGGCTCAGTCTTCGAAGAGAACGAAGCTCAGAAAGAGCCCCCACCAATCTGGCCATGGCACCCAGGCTCCAGAGTGCTGTGACTGGTGTTCCAGAACACCAAGGTCCACTTTTCATGTGGAGGTCACATGAATGTTGGGTTTCTCTGCTGACCCTATGCCTATCTGCATGACCCTGACAAAAATCACTGAGCAATTTCTGGCCTCTATTTTCTCATCTGTATAATGGGCCTAAGAAGGCAAGGAATTAAATAGGTGATGCCCTTACCAGCAGCTGACTCAAAGCAGGAACTCAAACTGCTCTGTTCTCCATATGTTGCTCCTGAAATCCTCACTGTAACTGCAGGAACCCTAATTTTTTTTGAACAAAACATCAGTGCATTTGGGGCTGATTAAAATAAGTATGCTTTACAAGTAAATAAACAAGGTTTTATTCTCCCTTCATGCCAGTGCTGCTTTCCATCCTCAGGACTCTGGATTGTTTGAAAATTAATCCTGTGCAGGTGGTGAACGAGCAGGCTGGCTGGCAGGTGTGTGCGTGGCAGCGGAAATCAATTTATTCTAACTCGGAGGCTGCGTCAGACCGGGGAGGGAATGTGAATACAGGTGGGAAATTGGATCTGCAGGGGGTGGTTTGGAGAGCTTTCCACTGCCTTCTCCTGGAGAGGGTGCGGAGAAGGTATAAATGGCTCTGAGCTTTTCCTTGGTCTCATCCTAAGCAACCACCATCTCTTTCCTTTAAATCCGCTCCGGTCCAGTAAGGTTCATTTTTGTGTCCTGCCCGTACTGACCACCTCAGGAGCTGAACTATCCCAAGCGGTAAGAGGAAAGACTTGGACTAGGCCTGTTCCTTAACTACTCATCCCCTGCAAGCCATCTGCTGGGAAGTTTGGGTCGCTGAATTCATGGGCTGTGTCAACATCCGACGTGGCGACATCCACATGCTCAAACCTTCGTTGGCGACGTTCGCCGGCTTTGTGGGTGTGACTTTGTGAAGCTGAGACAGTGGGCTTCTTTCCTGCTCCATCTTCAGTCACACCTGCCTCCGTGACTGACACTCGGCAGGGAGGAACTCAGGGAGCGCTTGTAGAATGAAAACGGGAAAGAGAATGAGAAACTGTACACCACTGTAGAGAAAGGGCCCTGGGTTCAAATCAGTTTCCATGGAAACACAGCCCTGTGGGCTGCAACAGGTGTTACATGAGGAAATGACTGCGTAGCCATCTGCTTGGGGGAGACTGCTCGAAGAAGACTCTACTGCAAGACTCCTCATCGTCTAAGGGGCCACGCAAACCCCAAATGCAGCATGCAGTCTTTGTGGAACATGCTAACCTCAGGGGGTTTTCTGTGGGATTGGCGCTCTGAGGATTACAATTTGTGAGAGTTTTCTCTACCTGGTTGACACACTTCTTGGTCTTGATTGCTCCTGCAATTTTCTTTCCCCTGGAGCGTTCCTCTCCAGATTATCTGCACCCTCCTCTTCTGTCTGCCCTCACTTGATACCATTTCCCTGAGCTGCCTCCCTGTGTCTGTCTCTCCTCCTCCCCCACGCTTCCACATCTTGGAGTCTTTCTGCCCCTTAAACGCATTTTATCTTTTCCTTTCTGGACTTTCTTTGCTTCCAGAGTAGGTGCCCCCAGAGGGCGGGGTGTGTGCCCATCTTCTGGATTCCTGAAAAAAGCAGTACTTGTACTGGGAAGGCACTTAACAGATACAGATGAACAATGGATGGATAAGTGAAGGGTTTCTGCTTTCTACCCAGGGCAGGGCGACAGGGTGAGGTGAAGTGAGTGGATGATCACTGCTGGCTTGCTTTGGCTGCTGGGCTCAGCAAGCTGCATCAGGAAATCAGCGGGCATACTGAGAAGGGATTTGCCAGCCAGGGCTGTGTGAGGACACAAAATTG